TGGAATGTGTTGATTTTCTATACCTTAACATGAAGTTTATACTTTTCTCATGAAAATTATGGATAATTATTAAGGAAATATGATTATGGAACCTAGGGAACTACCCTAGGATACATATTTTTACTTGAAAAAATTCATCGCCTAGGCGACTAGGTGACAAGGCGCCCCCTTGTCGCCTAGCCTCACCTTGACGCCTTGAAAACTATGAATGTCACAATACCGCCTAAGGCTCCCCATGAAGAGGACATTGCCCACTTAATCCCTTGAGCTCTCCAAACACTCCTGGCCCATCTCTTATCAAAATCCACCAGCTTTGATTCCTGAATTAAAACGATATCAAGCTTCTCCTTCTTAAGGACCTCTCTTATGATGGATCTTTTCCTTGCCCTCCTTAAACCTCTAACATTCCAGCTTACAATTTTTCATTCCTTCAACCACCAAACAAACCCTTCTTCCTGGTCCTACTTAAAACCTCTAGCTCTCCCTTTTCTCCCACTGAATTCCTTGTCCCCTTCAATATCTCTTTTCAACCTTTCCGCTTCACTCAGCTTCCTTTTCTTTGCTTTGACACCTTCCTTAATCTTTCTTAAGTAAACGTTCATATCTATTGGTTCTAGTATTGTACACCCCAACTCTTCTACAAAATCGGCCACCGACTCACCCAACCCATATCCTTTCTTTTTCCTTTCCATCTCCTCAAGTTCTCCCCCAGAATTCAAACTAAAGATCTCATCCTTTCTTCCACTCTCACCCTCCTCATAGTACTCACACATTCTCCAATTCTTTCCTCTTTAAGTCCTCAAAAAAAGTCTTAATCATTTCCCAAATTTTCCTACCCCTCACTTCCTCTACCTCATCTCTCACCAACTCTACCTTCCACTTCCCCATTACGGCTAGCGGAACATGGGCTGAACTGGAACCTGGAACATCAAAAGCAGTCACAGAAAAATAGTTAGTATTAACAATGGAAGTGACACCAACACCTGGCACCTTGTGAGGGGAGGAAACAGCTTCACAAGAGAAATGGTCTGACTTTCCAAGTTCCGGAATTTCAACCACACCATCCACCCTAGCTTGGGTTCCCACTGGAAGGTTTCCAACTAGAGTTGTTACTCTGAATACTTCCAAGACTCTGTCATCTATCCCCATCTCGATCCCCCCTATTTAGTCTTTGGTAATCCTCAATTGTTCCCTTACAAGCACCCTGCATCAACAAATGGATCCAAAGCTGAAACCATCTCCACTCACTACCGCTGGATCCAAAGCTGAGGTCTTCTTGGGACTGTTAATTTCCCCAATGAAAAGAATATTAGTATTTAGAGAACCATCAACAATCTCGTGTTGCTCCTCTCCCCTCCACTGTCTTCCAGAGATAGAATCTCAGTTTCTGGGTCACCCTCATCCTCCGACTGTGCGAATTTCTCCCAGCCATTGTCAACGTCGTCAGCATCCTCCACCCTACATCTTGAGTAACGAGGGTTGGAGCGATCCACTACCAACTGGTCGGAGCGTCCTTGTGAAGCTTCTGCTCTTGTAACCCATTGCATGTTGTTCTTCTCGCAGTTACCTAGCTTCGGTACACCGATGGCCATGATTTGGGATGATGATAGGCCCAACTTATCATCCTTAGTCTATTTGTTTTTGGACTCCAAACGAACCTCATATGAAAGTGCCTTATTAGCCAACTCATTCGAATTTTTCAGCGAGTTGCTAATACTCACTTGGCCCCTCCCACCTAGCTCCGAGTTAACACCCATCTTGTCCGCAGTCCAGTCCCTTAATCTCCTTCATTCGATCCAAACCCTTAATCGGGTTTGACGTGGCTCCAATCCTTGCAATTTCCACATAAGAGAAATGCCCCACCTCCAACCTTAAACCATCAGGTTTGTTTGACGTTAATTCTCCCCTGCGACCCTTGTTCTTTTCTTCCCCCCATCACCTGACTGTTCGCCTCCCCCCCCCAATCCTTCACATAACAAGGCCTTCTCACCAGCCACTCTATCAATGCCAATGCCATGCATACCAGCACTTGCCAGGTTGGCATCGTCTTCAACCTCTCATCATATGCTCCACAACAATGCTTCAGGTCCTGTTATAATCCACACCTGAAACCAAGCACCATGAGCAGCAACTTCGATCATTCTTGGAACGAGCTCAGGTCTCACCCCTGCAATCGATAACTTCACCACTCGAAGGTTCTGCACATCTGTTTCTAGTAGAACCGCACCCAAGGATCTGGCAATCTTTTCAAGGAAAGACAATTTTCAGAGATTAATTGGTAAACCATGAAGGGTGATTTCAAAAGCTCCATCACCTAAATCCTTCCTATTACAAGATGGGAACCAATCTTCAATCAGAACTATGTCTGAGTCAATCTCCACCATATAGAAATCAATCTCCCTATCCCCAGTGTCCAGTAAAGTTTTTTTTAAATCAAAAGGGAAAATGAAAACTCCATCGGTCACTGTCATTTTGGATTTGATCTTGTTCAAGATGGTCACCCAATTGTAACTTCCTTTGCCACCTTAATAATCCGACGCTTCCCCAATTGAATCACTATCCAATAGTAATCTTTGCAGCGTAACCGAACTACATATTGTAACCTCTTGTTGCTCATCCCGACAAAGCACCTCTTCCACGACCTCATTTTGCTTATCTTGACACATTGCAATTTCTGTTTCTAATTCAAATTCACCTTTCTCATTCAAAACGACATGGGGCACCACCTAATTACCTTTTATTTCTTTGTTAGCTTCTGATTCTTTGTTCACAAGGAGACCTTGAAGACTCTGTGTGAACTGTGAACCTCTTTCACCCCATACCTTGTTTTCCTTCAGGAATACACCATCTGTTTTTTGTTTTGCCCGAAGAATCTCACCACCACAAAGAACCATCCATTCTGGTTGCACTTTAATTCCACTTGATAACTTCTTCTTGACCTTTCCAAAGACATCCTTCTTTCTTGACTAAAAAGAGAACCCCATCCAAGAAGCCTTTCAGCCAACGTGTGGCTTCTACTATCAAGAAAACAGTTGCTTTCCCTTCCTCTCTGAGTTTTAGAGTGGTTTGTGCTTTACTCTTACCTTCTTCGAGCAAAAAAATCGTGGCTTCAATCTTCAGTTCAACTCTCCATCTTGCGACTGGTGAGAAGGACCCTTCATTTTGACTCCCCATTCCCTTGACTCCTACATACCTAGTTCTCCAATTGATTTTGCCAACCCGAGTAGCTCCTCTCTTCGAAATATACACCTTTAAATACCTTTAAAAAGGGGATTTCTGGTTCATAGTTGTCATACAAGTGTTGGGACCAACATTGGGTAATGGCCTTTCTAATTGTCATACAAATGCTCTAATGAATCTAAAGGGTCACAGAAGATAGGAAGCTTTCAAGGAATATATCCTATAAGGTTGGTAAGGAGATTAAGTCCTCTTTTTGGAGGAAAAATGGTGTAGTTATCCTCTAACAATGGCATTCCCTCTCTTGTATAATCTGGCAGTATCTAAGGCAACCTTGATTTTGGAAAGCTAATAAGTGATTGGCAGTGAAGCCATTTTATCACTTCAACTTCATTGTCATCTCAATGATTGGAGGCTTACAGGTTACTGGAACTTCTGAATTGCATTCAGCAGATCAATATTGACCCATCTTGGGCAGAAAGAAGAGTAATGGAATCTAATACCAGTGAAGTCTTTACAGTTAAGTCTTGCTATCATACTCTCATATCTAGGGAAGCAACACCATTCTCATGTTAATGGATCCAGGCTCCCAACATATCCATTAAGATATGCTTCTTCATGTGAAAAGTGTACCTAGACAAAATATTCACCATTGACCATCTGACCTTGAGGGGGAGATTATCAAAATGAATGCACCATTTCTCACACTCAAGAGGAGTCCATGGGTCATCTACTCATCTTCTCTTCCATTGTCCATATTCCTACAAAATATGGTGGTGCCGTATGAACCTTTTTGGTTGTAAATGGGTACTGTATGCCAAGCATAAGGTTTCTTATCCAAGTCTTCCTAATAAATTCGTCTCATTTTTGTCAGGGGTTACACAAGTGATAGTCAGGACATCCGCCAGATACATTAAATTTGTGTCTTCTTTATCTCATCAATCATATTAGTTGTAAATCATGTGCATTCCATCCTTCCAAATGTATGAAAATGAAATGGCCAAAAAAGTAAATTTTATATTTTTTTTATCAATCAAAAGTAAATTTTATATTCTATTTGAGGAATTGATACAAAGGTCAGAACCTTATTAAATAACCATGACTTAAATGTTCTGGAGAGCACCATCACGTTTATACCAGGTTTATGGAAAGCCAACCTGCACCTATAGCTCATCCTGAATTAAATTCCCAAGAATCTCAAAATTTTACTTTGATTTTGGAACTAAGGTGAGGAGGCTGAAGCGATTAAGTACATGAAATTTCTCCACCACAATAACAGGGTTCAGACATTAAGCCAATACATCTTACACGTAACAAGTTATGTTCTTTTGAAAGCGCTGTATTAGTATATGCAAAAACAATTAGGGGAAAAGGTTGGATTCTTTTGTCCATTTAATTTTCCCATAAACATCTCTTCTTGCAAACTTGTAAAATGAAACGTTCAAGTCTTTGCCACGGATGACTATATAGCAAACAACAGAGCTAAGTTTTTTTTTTCGCAGGGATTCTGATGTCCACATCAAGCAAAAGCACCTGGTAATACTACAGCAACCGTTCCCTAACACCAAACTACCCAAAAATCAATAAACAATTTCTCGAAAATGACACTCCGAGGGTAAATATTCCAACCAATACCACCACCAACATAAACGTCATTAACCATTTGAGGGTCCAATACCAGAATTAGCAGAGAAGTTCGAGAAAAAAAAAAGCGTATAACAGTGTTGCAATCTGAAGATTTCCAAATTAGAGTTACGTTGACTAGAGAAAAAATCGAAATTAGGGTTTCTAAATATTAGAGACAAAAGCAGGGCAAGTCGTACCTGGAACTTCCTGGATCCTCGGTACTGAGTGGAGTATAAGACCGATTAGGATGCAGAAGCGAGGTGCTGACTAATTCAATCACAGGACCACCCGAAGAAGAAGAAGAAGAGATCGAAGAAGCACGGACGCTCTTCAGGGCATCTCTATGCTTTTTAAACAGAAGAGTTCGATTTCTTGTCGCCATGAGAAGCTAATAATCCTAAGAGAGAATTCGCATCACTATATTAAGGATCGAAAACGGAGACTGTGAATTCGGCTTTATCATATTCGACGGAGTGACAGAAGCGAGTGATGGAAAAAGAAGAGAAGCGATAGGCTTAAATAGGAAGATCGAGAGATATGTGAAATGAAGGTCTCGAGAAGGATGAGAGACGAGGAGGAGGTGGTGGTGGTGGTGGTGGTGGAGATCCGACGTTGAGTGCTTCTTTGCACATACATCCTCGTACTACACCGCCTCCTTTGAACTTTCTACTTCTTCCGACAGTGTTATGGCCCTCGCGTTGCCAAGCAGCCAGGAAAAGCAATATTAAAATGCGCCAATGAGGTTGAAACGCTTAAACTGCGCTAAACTCAGACTTACGTGGAAAATGGAAATAATAAATTTTCTCAACGATAATTCGTAATTCAGAGAAAATTCGGATTTCTTCTTCACGAAAACTGTACTCAGACTCGCAACTCTACATCGATATACAATTAATTGCCGAGATGTCCCAAATGCACGGATGCCAAGCATTCGAATTCAGTACTAAAAAAACCGTCAATAATATTATCTGGAATTTTTTAACATAAAATTTATTCTTTTGTATTTAAATTTTTTGATAAAAAGAAAGGACAAATAGGAAATAGGATAATTAGTTATGGAAATTAAGAAAAATTCCTGATAAGTACCCTTACTTTGGCTCAAGTGCCAATTTAAAATCCGAACTTTACAATATAAAAATCTAGTACCCGAAACTTTCAAAATGCAACAATTTGGTATCTAAAGTTAATAGACCATCAATTATGTATATCATGTGACCTCATGTCCGATTTAAGGCATTTGAAAAACAGAGCTCAAATTCTCAACCGTCCAAACCATCATTTCAAGATGAAAACCCAAGCGCAGTAAGATCACAAGCCCTCTCCTCACTCATCAGACTCAGTGACTCGGTGAGAACAATGCTATCATATTACTGGTGGTGGACTACACCCTCTTACTACTCGAGCCCAAGCTGGGTGGATAACCCGAGTCATCAGCAATTTCCGTCCGATTGGTATGGATCATACTGGTCGTCCTTTGCAAACTCGATGGTAAGGCCGAGTTGTACAAGAATGTCTCTCTATCATATCTCTTCCTGTCCAACAATCTCCAATACGTTGTGTCAAAGGTACGTGCGTCGAATCTTCGATACCTCCTCGGGGAGGTTAGGGGATTACATAACTCAATCCGAATGTGTTCCGCATCTTTTCTTCTCCGTTCGAAATTTTCTTCATCAAAAAAATGTGTTCCATATCTTTTATTCTCACTCTCATCAGAGTACCAAAACGTTTGACGCTCTACGCCATGAACGCGGGAGCCTTTCTCCTCTCGTCTGCTCCCGACCTCTCATCCTTGCAGACTCGCAAGAATTCCAGTGTTCGTATGACTTCTCGGAAGACTGCCTACTCTCATTTGAAAACTGAATCCCATGTTCGATTTCTTTGTCTCAAGCATCACCATGGCTTTCGTGTTTCCTAGAGAAATCATGTGCATTGGAAGGATCTGGTTGGAAAGACATTGGTAGTTTGGCTGATGTCAAATTGGAGCCCTACGATGTTGCCAACCAGGTGCCGGAGTTGGATAAGTTTCCGGATGGTTTCAGCCAGGTTGTTACAATTTGTTGGTACTTTGGGTGTTTGCCTGCTGACCTTTCTTTCTCCATTCCAATGTACAGTCCCTTTTGTTAATGTTTTTCAAACCTAAAACTGACTTTATGTCAAGTAACTTGAATTGTGGAAGACTTTGATTACGTTGGGAGCGTTATTCCATTTTTTTGGTTCTGAGAGGTTAAGTTATATACCTAATTATTCAAGATATCACAGGTTGATCATCGATGCATTCAAACTCTAGTTTTGCTAAGCTCTTCAGCGTGCTTAATTGACGCATTCGCTTGACATCACCAACGTGAGGGAGTTGTTTTTCATAATCTCAGTAATCGCAAGTGTGAATAGTGGTTCCAACTTGCAATGGTCGAAATAGTTGATGGGGTCATTTTTGTAATTTCAATCAAGAATTCATGCATTACTCCAAATAGTTAAGGGGTATTTAGGTCTTTTTGTCTTCTAATTGACGGTGAGTTAACATCAGGTACTAAAATGTCGCAAAATGAAAGTTCGGATACTAGATTGTCGCATTTTAAAGTTCGAGTACTAAATTGACACTTGGCCTAAAGTACAGGGTACCTATCAGGAATTTTCCCTTGATATTAAATAAGTTGAAAATAGGTAATTTTGTCCCTTGAAAAAAGTGTTTTCATCTAGGTGGTGGTAAGAAGTTAAATCATTTAAAGTCAAATGGGACAATCCATATTGCCACGATTAAAAAATTTGAAAAAATTTTTAATATACATATTAAACAATAATAAGTATGAGAAATACTAAATGTTTTTATTAATGATGGAAATGGAATGTAAAATTTAAAACCAATTAGAAATAAAAATATTTTCCTATTCTTTCTCATTAAATCATACATTTAAGATATATTTTTCTCATCATTAAATTCTTGTAATTAAATTCACAATATTAATTTTAATAGTGTAAAAATAAATATTTTGAAAAGTAATTTGAAAACAAAAACATTTTCTTCCCTTCCAGTGGTGGGAAAACATTTTATTCGACCATTTGGAGTCAAATGAATTAATAAATAATGTCATAATTAAATAATAAAAATTAAAATAAATAAGTATGAAATATAAGAAGTATTTTTATTAATGATGAAAATGGAATGCCAAATTTAAAATCTACCTAGAAATGAAATGATGTCATAGTCAAATAATAAAATTTTTAAAAATAGAAAATACAAAGAATCACAAAAATAAGAAAAAGGAAAAAAATTGGGTGCATATCTAATGCTATATATTTATAAAAAATAAAATATTGGGTACATGTCTAATATTATGCATTCATTATATTGAACAAAAATAAGTATTATACATAATAAATAATTTTATCAAGGGTAAATTTCTTAAACTACCCTTATGGTTTAGCAAATTGACTAAGTGTACCCTTACTATTTGAATATTGACTAATGCTACCCTTACTATTTTTAACAATTGACTAAGTGTACCCTTAGTCGTTAAACATGGACGGAAAAGGTCAAATGCCCATTTGACCCCTATGTGAAATTACATTTTTGTCCTTGATTTTAACTTAACTCATAGTCCCTCTCGACACTCACCCCACCTGTCGAAAGGGAAGAGGGAGGAGTGCCATCCTTCGATGCGGCCACCACCAATGGCGGCAGTCGCTACAAATACCGAACGGCGAAGGTCGGTGAGTTTTTTTTTCACCAAGAATAGATCCATGCCTGCTATCTCGCCGATGCAAGTCAAGTTGAAGGACTTGGGGCCGGGTTCAGCTCCGTCGTCGTCGTCTACATCGACCCCCTCCAGCACCGACACCTTCATGGCAAGATCGTCGATAGGTTGGAGATTATTTGAAGGACTTGGGCTTAATCTTCACCACCAAAAGAAATGTCACAATGTCTTTGGCAAAAAAACAACTCTTCGAGTGATTCCTCTCGTCTGCAAATCCTGACAGGAAGTCGCTATCGGACCCTACTGTTGGACTAACATTGACGTCGAGCAATGGTGTTGTCGACTCTCCGCTTACAAGGGGACCCTTTGTCGACTCTTAGCTTACAAGCTTGGCGTAACTCCTTTTTTTTCCTTTATTTCATCTCTTATTTAAAGGGGGTTATCGTCGTTGTCGTCAACGCTGAGAGGAAGGAGAGAGAGAAAGACATATGGGAGTTCATAGGGGGTTTCCGCCGCCGTTGCCGTTGCTCAGAGGAAGAAGAGAGAGAAAGAGAGATGGGAGTTCAAAGGGTTGCCGCTGTCGTCGCCCTTGTTCAGTTCGCTTATACCACTTCAGTTGCCACTACTATCGCTGCCCCTATTCAATTCATCGTTCTCTACTTCTTCAACAGAGCACCCCACTATTGAATAAGAAAGAGGATGAGGGGTGTGTTGGTTCACTCAATCGTTCTCTGCTTTAATTTTCTTTTATTCTTATTTGTTCTTGACTATTGAAAGATCGACAGATGCTTTACTATTTTTTTGGTTTTTTTAGTTGATACTGTGTAGTTATCTCCAATGATCAGGTGTTGATGGAGACTGTGGGAGGAAGACAGAGGGAAGAGAGAGAGAGAGGTCGAAGAGGAAGGTGATCTGGTGTTGATGGTGACTATGGGAGGAAGATAGAGGGAAGAGAGATAGGTCGGAGGAGGAAGGGTGTGATGGGTCGAGAGGAAGGATAAGGGTATAATTGGGTTTTAAAAATTTTTAAACGTTATGTGGTGTCACGTATTTATGGGTTTTGGCGAAATATTAATTGATGTTAACGGGAATGGTAGAGTTAGTCAATTGTCATAAACAATAAGGGTAGATTTCATCAATTTTCAAACATTAAGGGTACATTTAGTTAATTAGCTAAACCAAAAGGATAGTTTAAGAAATCAAACTATTTTTCTTTTTAGGTGGTGGTTAGTGCTTTGTAGACCTAGCAAAAAGTTGACCCAACCCGCAAACCCGACCCAACCCAACCCGTAAAAACAAGGTTAGGGTCTCATATTCAGATACCCAAATGTGAAAATGATCTGATCCGACCCAACCCGAAAAACTGGGTTGGGTTGGGTTGGGTCATGGATCAACCCACTAACCTGATTGTCAAGTCTAATTGAGATTATTTATGCATTATTAAAAGTTTCCACTCTCTAATTTTTTCTATTTAGTCTTTACTCTTTACTGTTTACTCTTTAAATTGTTAAATGTTCAAGTTTTTTATTTTATATTTAGAATTTTATGGTTAATTCTTTTAATTTTAACACTTTCATGTATTTTTTTTAGTCTATTTAAATTCCAACTATTTTTTGGGATGACCCAAATTGACCCATGGGTCAAACCTAACCCAAACATTTAGGGTTAGGGTCTAGCACTTGACAACCCAACCCGAAATTCAACCTGACCCAAAATCAACCCAAAGTACATTGACCCAACCCGAACCCGACCCACCCAACCCAATTGCCAGGTCTAGTGGTTTGGGTAAAAATGATATCATAGACAAACAAAAATTAAGTGTAATAAGTAAAAATTATTTATATAATATACATGAAATATATAGTTTAAAAGGAAAATTATAATCAAAACTAATCATCCCTTTTTTTATTTTTCTTACACACTTATACCACTTTTATAGTCAAGCTATTTTCTTATCTAGATGGTGGGTCAATGATCCAACTTTTCAAAGAAACTCATAATGTC